GGGCTGACAGCGGTACAGCGGTGGGATGGCGCGCCGCCGTTTGCTCCGCGTGTGGCCCGCTCTGCTCATGGCAGTCTGCGTAATGTGCCGGGCCGGCCGCCAGCCGGGCTCTCCGTGAAACAGGCGTGCCTCAGCGTAACACAGAACCTCAGCGCTCGAGTCAGTTTTCGGGCGTTGGCATGACGCCTGGTGCACTCTGCGGGAGCAGGTTTTAGGTGCCGCGTCGGCGCCTCACGCGCAGCGTCGCGGCTCACACATCTCGCTTGTGATGGCGGAGGGTTGGCGGCCCTGTCGCACATTTGAACAGCCGCCACACGGCGGAGGGGGTGATGCGCGGCACTTCCACTTGCAGAGCTTATGACGGCGCGCAGCTGGCGAACCGGGCTGGCCCGGTTTGTCAGGAGGGGCGGTCGCCGGCTGTGCTCCTTGCTTCTCGGTCTAGAACGTCAACACCGCGATACGCGCCACCTATCTCAGACTAGCTGTCGGCACCCGTGGAGTGCGCCACGACAAGCCAAGTAAGGCACGGCCTCAGATCACCGACGGCTGGCGCCACCGACGTCTGGGCTGTGGAGCAGTGTGTTTGGACTGCACTCAGTACTTGCACAAACAGGAAACTTAGGTGAGGTTATTTGCTCGCAACGTGGGCCGCAGGTATGTAAATGAACCGCCACATGATTAGTGTGCGGATGTGTACTGTGCCAATGAGAACTTAGGAAAACGTTTGAAAGGATAAGATTTGCTCGTGCACTGCAGTAAAATTAATCCAGCCGATCGAAGATCAGATGTCAGGCCGAAGAAACACTGACAGGCGAGCCAAAATGCAAGCGCGCGGGCGGACAGGTCACATAACGGCACCTGTGGTGAGCCGCCGGCCAGCGTCCCGTACCGCTGTCTGGGGGCGGGCGTGGCGGGCAGAGCGGCCGGGTCGGGACGGCCGTGACTCGGCAGCCGCCGACGCGCCGACGGCTCCCACGGGCCGGAAGGCGATGGGTTTGCGCCGTGCTGACAGCCGTCTGACACGCACGACCGTCGCCGTCTGCCGGCCGTCGAGCGGGCGGTGCTGCGCCAGCCGGGTGGCGTCTCCGCGCCGGTCGCCGCCGCCGTCGCCGCCGCCGCCGCCGCCGCCGCCGCCGCCGCCGCCGCCGCCGCCCTGCCGCGTCCGGGTCGCTCCAGGTGGCGTGACGCCCGGCCGAACGGTCGGCCGCCGCGCCGGCGGGTCGCGCCGCGGGACGGCCCTGTTGTCATTGGATTTTGGCCGGCTTACATTGGCGGCGCCTGACGCCGGGCGTCGGAGCCGCCTCGCTGTCGTCTGCGGCCGGCGGCGGCCGGATCGATCCCCGGCCTACCCTCCGCTCGGCTGCGACGGCTCGGGACCGCCGCCGGCGTGTTGACAGAGCTGTCGGTCCGTCGCCGGCGTCCCGCTGCCGGTCTGGTGCCTAGAGGACTGTCAACGCCGGCGGCGGTGCCGAGCCGCCGCGCGCACGCCGCGCATTCCTATGCCAGTGGAATCGACGAGCCCGGTGTGTCACCTAGCGCGGATTTGCCCCGACTGGATTATACGCAAACTGTGAGAATCCAATCGGCTAACTGCCAAAGACGGCGCTCGTGGTCCATCGGCGGCGATGTTTCCCTTAGAGCGACAACAATCTGTGTTCCACGCCCATAGTACGCGATGTCCCGCATCATGATGAGTTTACAAGCCTTGAAGTGTCAAAACAAGATACCGCACCTGAATTAGCCGGTCGCATTGTTTGGTGCTACTGGTTCGACAAGCGGCTATTGCAGCGTGCTGGGGGACAGAGTTCGCCACACACTGCTATTGCTTTTTTCGCTTGCCGTGCGCACACCAGAGCTGAGCGACCGCTTCATCCGCCTGGTGCCGCGGGGACGCAGAGCAGTCGGCAGCGGGTGCGACGGGTTGGCCGAGCGGCGCCGGCCATGGCCGGGGCGCACCCCGTGTCGCTGGGTCGGTCGTGACCGTGACCGGTGCGCGGCGGCGGTGCGGCCACCCGCCGCCGCCCGGCGCCCGGTGCGTCGCCGCGTGGTCGCGGCCGGCCGCCCGTGACAACGCCTGCGCCGTCGGGGTGGTCCGGCGCACCGCCGTCGGGGTGGTCCGGCGCACCGCCGTCGGGGTGGTCCGGCGCACCGTCGGGGTGGTCCGGCGCACCGTCGGGGTGGTCCGGCGCACCGCCGTCGGGGTGGTCCGGCGCACCGCCGTCGGGGTGGTCCGGCGCACCGCCGTCGGGGTGGTCCGGCGCACCGTCGGGGTGGTCCGGCGCACCGCCGTCGGGGTGGCCCGGCGCACCGCCGTCGGGGTGGTCCGGCGCACCGTCGGGGTGGTCCGGCGCACCGTCGGGGTGGTCCGGCGCACCGTCGGGGTGGTCCGGCGCACCGTCGGGGTGGTCCGGCGCACCGCCGTCGGGGTGGTCCGGCGCACCGCCGTCGGGGTGGTCCGGCGCACCGCCGTCGGGGTGGTCCGGCGCACCGTCGGGGTGGTCCGGCGCACCGTCGGGGTGGTCCGGCGCACCGCCGAGACAGACCGCCGGGACAGACCGGCGCACCGCCGGGACGGGTCCGCGCACCGCCGGGACAGGCCGGCGCACCGCCGGGACGGGTCGGCGCACCGTCGGGACGGGTCGGCGAACCGCGCCGACCCCCGGCCGCGGTCGCCTTCGTAATGGTTCGAGGGACGATTATCTTTGGCCGTCATCGATCATGGGGACGAGTCCGGCGGCGCTTTCCGGTGCGCGAAACTCGTGCCGCCGTCCGGCCGGCCGTTCGCAGCCGGAACAAAGCGTCGTCTCGCCGCCACCGGCGCCGGCCGGTGTCTCAGGCTGGCGGTAGACGCCCTCACCAGTGACGTACGCCTCTGTTGGCCGGAGGCGGCGTGCTTTGCGGCCGTTGATTTGCGAGCTCTGGGGTGCGGGCAGCTGGCGCCGGCTCTGGTGGAGCCGCGGTGGAATGTGGGCTGAATAGGCCGGCGCGGCCGGCTGTGTTGACCTGGCCGTGCCCGACCGCCAATGCCCGCCGCCTGCCGTGGCGGGGCGCTCGCACGGTCCCAGTGTACTGTCTGCATCCGCACACCACCCGCCATAGCATTTTGTGCTATCGCCCTGTTCAGTGTAACTCGCCATCGACAACGCCACTTTACGGTATACCCTTTTCCACATCATGCCTGCGACGTTACTCAGCCAGCGTAGCTTACATCCTATTCTCCTCTCTCCACCCGTGCCAACTCAGCCGCCAGGCTCCCGTCTCCCGTCCTCCCCACCGACTCTTCCGGCCATGCATTTGGCCTCTGTTTTTTATGGTTCTACCCTTGCCCTTTCCCCGCCCCCCCCCCCTCCCCTCCCCCACCGCCCGTCTCTCCCGCGGCTGTGCCGGCTCCGGGCCATTTGCCGGTCGGCCGGGCGACGGCAGCTCCCAGCGGCGCCACGTCCGGGAACATGTGGGAGTGGCGCGGCGCCGTCTGCCGCGATCGCCGCGTGCACGTCCGCGCCGCCTGGTAACGGCCGGCCGCCGGCGGCTGGGCCTTGGCCGAGGGTGTTGCACTTGGCCGCCGCCGGCCGTCGGTCACAGGGAGGGGCGTCGGCGCCACGCTCGCCCTAGGTGCGTGACGGCGCCGCCGGCCGGCCCGTCCGTCCGGCGCGGGTGCGGCCCGGCTGCCGGCGGCCCGCGCGCTCCCAGGCCGGCCCGGCTGCGGCCGCCCGCCGCCAGGCGGCCGGCCGGCCTGCCAGCCTTGACATTGGCGCGGCTGGCGGGCTGACGTGGCGGCAGCCAGTTGCCACAGCGCCGTCCCGCTGAGTGCCGTGCCGCCGCTGCTCCGTGCGTTGCCGTGTTCGGTCTCTTCTCCTCTATCCACCTCTCTGTCGCTTTCTCTCTCTTTCTCGCGTTCTCCTCCGCCTCTGTCATGCATCTGAATATGGACGTGGACTCCACTGTCTCCGCCGCCGCCGTCTCCGCAGCCGCCGCCGCCGCAGCCGCCGCCGACGCCGGCGCCGCTCGGTCGACCCTTGTGAGTGTCGCTGCGCTCTTGAGCTGTGCGTGCGTGCGTGCGTGCGTGCGTGCGTGTGTGCGTGCGTGCGTGCGTGTGTGTGTGTGTGTGTGTGTGTGTGTGTGTGTGTGTGTGTGTGTGTGTGTGTGTGTGTGTGTGTGTGTGGTGTGTGTGTGTGGGTGGTGTGTGTGTGTGTGGTGTGTGTGTGTGTGTGTGTGTGTGTGTGTGTGTGTGTGTGTGTGTGTGTGTGTGGTGTGTGTGTGTGTGTGTGTGTGTGTGTGTGTGTGTGTGTGTGTGTGTGTGTGTGTGTGTGTGTGTGTGTGTGTGTGTGTGTGTGTGTGTGTGTGTGTGTGTGTGTGTGTGTGTTGTGTGTGTGTGTGTGTGTGTGTGTGTGTGTGTCTTCGGCATATGCGGGATGTGTTGCCGCCGACCCGTGCTGTGTGACAGACATGGGACTTTGACCCTGGCGCCCCCGCGCCAGCGCTATGCCCCCACATGGATCCGTCCGGCACACAAGGCCAGCTGCACTGCGTCCCTCAGCCTCGCCCTGCCCTCGCCACCCCACATACAGGCGTCGTCGGAGCCCACACGGCTCGTCGAGTTCGGGCTGCCATGTCATGCCGCACTGCGCCAACTGTGACATGGTCACGGATATGCCATGCATACGCATATGTCGCGTCATACGACTACCGGCTTGATGATGTCAGTAGGCGCAAAGGTGGCCTTTCAGTCAATCTTGGCGCAGATGGAGGAACGTCTCGCAAAGTGGGAGTGCCGACACGAAATTTGGATTCGATTCTCTCCACGCGAACCCATTAGGGTTAATGTTCAGTATTCACTGAAAGTTCGGATGGCAGGACACCTTAAGACATACGCCCACGCCTATGCCGATGACTCCTGGCTTATCACACGGCTATACCTATTTGGTATTCCATGCTCCCTTTTCTCACGTGCATGTGTTGTGCATGTTTAGAATCCTTACCCAGGATCTTCCTTGTTGCAGGTGAAACTGGACAACAAACCAAGTCGCGTGGTGCACATCCGCAACATCCCAAATGACGTCAGCGAAACCGAGGTTATCCACCTGGGTATGCCCTTCGGCAAGGTCACCAATGTCCTCGTTCTCAAGGGCAAAAACCAGGTAATAGTGCTGGGCCGTGTTATCGCCCACGCCAGGCGTGTGACATGCGGAGAATCTCCGCTCTTCCTGTTGGTGGTGAGGGATAGCGACCGATGAAAGGATGGGAGGGGAGGGCTGAGGGCGTTGGTAATGTCGAACTGGCTTAGATTCGGTGGTCTTCGTAGAGCTGTCACTTTTTTGAAAGTCCACCTCGGCCCGGTGCCCAGACGTGAAGAGCAAAAGCTCAGCATAGCAATTTTCTGGGGAGATAACTGCTGAGACCGGCGAGGAAAGTGGCGATGAAAATTTTATGGCTGCTATGCTAGATATACAACTAGAGCTGTTTCTCACTGGTGCACAATCTCGCCTGTTCGACTCATCTGTCATTCGGCAAATAAGGCCATCCAGCTCCCCAAGATTTTTTGTCCATTCCTACAGTGTTTCCTGGGGAGGCGAAATTCCACCTGCGGCTGTTAGCATTTTGGGTCATTGAGGAGACATCTGCTTCTACAGCGTAGATTACAGTATCGGCCTGCACACACGCTGGTGAAATTTTTGAAAGTGAATCGATAGCTCACAGAGGAACAAATTTTCCACGCGCCTTCCTTTCGCTGGCTGCTTTTCAAGAGATAAGATATGTCGCGACATTTTAGATGGAAACAAAGTCCACAGCTTGAAAATGTCAAAAACAATCTGACAAAAACCATAAATCTGAAGATCCTCTTTAACAAGCCAAGCCACAGAATGAAGGCCCTTCTGTCATATATTCCTTATCTGGGCCCTGCTGCCGTCCACCGTCTTGCCAAGAGCGTTGCCAAGGGAACACAAAGTTAACAAAAGCTCCTCCTATCGTGCCTCCCCCCAAAACATCTCTGGACATAGCTTTCTTGTTAACAAGGGCATGGCTTCCTTCGTTTTATTGTTATTTTTACCTTGTAATCACAACAGAAACCAGAAGCTAGAGTGAGACGAATTCTCTTTGCATTTTTAAGTCATTAATGTGTAGAAATCAGATGTCGAATAACCGCACGTAGGTGGGTTGTAGATCGATAGGCTTGACGCAAAATTGAAGGTGAAAATTTGATCGTATATGGAGTGGTCAGTAATGTGTATGAACATGGCCAAACCATGTTTGTCTGGAAATGTTCAACGTTGAGGCAGAATCGATAAGTGATACAACTTATGCAGCGTTCTTTTTTAACACGCGCGCTCGCAAATCTTAGCAATAAAAACCTCGACACCAGGCGTTGCAGTCTCCGTAGTCCGCTGAGCTACGATGGGTCATGGCCAAGAGTTAGCCCAGCGGCTAACTCTTAGCCATGACCCGTCGTTGCACAAAAATGATGACGATTTCTGAAATAATTACCTTGAAGCACTTCAATCGATTCGCGATATAAATTATGCGACCTAGTTTTGAGCATGCGCACTGGCAGATCGTAGTAACATAAACCTCGACGCAATGCGTTGAAGTCTCCGTAGGCCGCACGGCGTCGGCCCAGCAGCTAATACTGAGCCGTGGCCAACGTGTGGACAAAAATGATGACGTTTCGGAACGAAGTACCTTTGAACGCTTCAGGACATTAAATCTTACGGTCAGAAGGCAGTCTGGGCGCATGTTTCATGTGTGCGATTTTTAGACTGATGATAAGAACGGATTAACTCTTAAAACGCCGCGAAGTGGTGGTGGAATCTGGTGGTAGAACTGAAAGAGTAAAGGTAGAATCTTTCTTTTTCGTATTTCTGAACTTTTCATCTGTCTAGAAGACAGATTAACACGGCGCCCACCGTATGGTGGCACTTGCAGTGGCCGACCCCGTTCGGTTTGACTGAAGATGCAACCCAGGCCATCGCTTTCCTTGCTCTCAAGGTTGCGGGCGGTCACGTTCAAACCTTTTGCTGCCATTTGTTTTACTAATCCATTCTGAAAATGAGCGTTCTCAGGCAAACATGGGATGGCTTTTTTGGCTTTTTATACTCACTTCGGCCCACTCTGTTCCACAATAATGAGATTACCACTACACTCAACAATACTTGAGACCCCTTATTTCCTTCCGGGTAAGGGGGCCCCTTAAGTAGGACACCAAGGGCACACTACCGTTTCGGGTTAAGGGCTGAAGGGTCATTCCATCCCATCGTGAAGTGTCTTCTGGCTGTCATGCTAACGACACGGGGCGGGATCTCCTGGTCGACCCGACGGCCCTTAGAATGATACATCATATCAAATTATTCCCCTCCCTGACACGGGAGGCCTTCTGATCCGCGCAGTTGGCCCCGGATCAGCACAGGAACCCTCATTGACGCAAGAACGTCTCTGCTCGTCGCAGGCGACCTAATAATTGTCACAAAGGCTCCAGTTTCTTGTTTTTCTTTGTTCTTCATATAT